TTTGCCTTCTGTATGCCTTCTGATACCCGTGATGTATAGTCCCTGAGATATTATTGCTGCTATGAATGATAATTCTCTGCTCTTTAAACATTCCTCGGGATTTCTTTCCACCCACCCTCTATTCTCCGGACTTTATTTTTCCCCTTATTCTGAAAAAAAAAAAATATATATATACATATATATATATATATATGGTTAGAATTGTTATATTGCTTGCTTATTCTTCTATGTTAGGTTAGGAGACGATATAAATGCTAAATCTGATCAGAATGGCAGACTTGCACGCTAGGAAATTTGTTATCCCAGCAGATGATGGGAAAACATCCACAAAAGGTTAGTGGGGCCTTAGCCAGGAGTGTCAGCAAAAGTGTCGCGCTGTGAGCGCCGTTGAACTGGTGGGGTTCAGGGCAGCTCGCTGGATGTGAAGTGAGAAAGAGCTGTCTTGAAGTGCCCTTACAGTCTTTAAATCTGATTTTATTTATTTTATTTATCTAGTAAATTCTGGCATTTCTGGCACTCTTGTAGCTCTATGGAGGTAGCAGGAGAGGAGCAGGGGAAGGACTTGACGTTTTGAAAGGAATAGAAAGTAAGAATAGCTTTTCCAATCAATTTTTGAGAGTTGGTCCACATAGAGCAAAGCTTTGCTGCAAAGGGGCTCTTCCATGAGCCTGTAGAAATTCTGTTTTCAGCTTTCAGTGAGTCATTGCTTCTGTGGGAGAAGGTGGTATGCGACCGGGGAACACAAAGATCATCTTGTTCTGCCTGCAGGAGAGAGCCCTGTGAAATGAGAGTTTCGTGAGGAATCTGAATTTCTTTATTTTTTTTATATGAGGAATTTGAGGGCAAGCAGAAGGGAAAATTATTTTATTTATTTATTTATTTATGCAAGCAATGAAATTACTTAGTGCTGATACCTGCTTCCAGTTGGAAACTTTAGGTCCTCTGCACCTAGTTTCTTAATGTTCTTCCTTTCCATCTTTAAGTTTTCCTCTTTAAGTTTGGAGGATCTAGCTTATTCTCGCCCTCAGAGATTAAAATCCTCTTGGCAGAAGATTTTTTCCAAAAAAGCATATATATTCTTAAGATAGCCTGAATCTAATGGCCATCATGAAAACGTACAGGCCACTCTTATGAGCCAAAGCAAGGAGCTTGGAGTCTTGGAGCTTGGCAGATCCTGGCCAACTTTCACACAGGGCTTCTCTAGCATGCAAGTAGCGTCGCTCATGATAAAATGTTTTTCCTTTCCAGCCTTATATGCAGGAAACTTTCTGATTTAAACATCAGCTTCAGTTTATTCCTTGGATCACCCGACTGAAGTGTGTTTTGATCTCTTCTGCTCTCCAAAGCCATAAGCAAGATGTGCATGTGTGCGCGCAAGATGTTGCGCTTCCTTTGATCCCTGGAAGGTTGTTTTGGTGTCGCACGAGCTATTTTTATTTTGCTTTGTGTGTTGATTTTGCTGAGCGCCGCGGAGTTGCAGAGCTGCTGGAGCGGTCACGTCGTAGGGCAGGCACAAGAGCGCGCTGAGAAGTCTGTGGATGAGAGATGCTTTGAAGTGCTCAGAGGGATTCGGAAAACGAACCATTTGCGGGAAGAGCCCAAGGCGGTCAGATGCAGAGCACGGATGAACCGGTGTGACGGCCTACGGCAAGTCCGTGTGTTACTGTGCGGGTGAGAGAACCCGCTACGAGAAGGACTTCCCAGGTGGTGATGTTGGAGCAGAGCAGAGTATCTGCTGATGAGCTTGGTAAAAAAAAAAAAAAAAAAAAAAAAAAAATCAATCAAGGCAGTGGAAAGGAGACCGGTATGGCCTTGATCGCAAGGCATACATACCATGTACTGTATATGTCTCGGAGCATTTCCTTTCCACATAAGTATGAGGTATAGGCAGTTCATTTTTCTTCGGCAAGTTGCATGTGGCCATCATCCCTTTTCTTCTAGCCACCCTAATAAATACAGGGTGAAGCATTTTCAGTGTGCAGCCTTTGAGCAACGTGTTATCAGTTACACCGTGGGCTTGGGAGGAAGAAATGTTCTTGGAGAGGCTTAAATGCTCTGGCGCACGAAAATGGGTATGAGTGTGGAGCTAGGGTCGTTCTTGAGCAACAGGCCTGCGACCGCAACGAGCAAACCCTGAGCAGCACGCGCTGGCCTGCCCTTGGAGAGCAGAGATGTTTTGGTGCTCTGAGCTGCACGCTGTAGCAATGCTCTGTTGAATAAATGGAAAATAAGTCTTTATTTTGGCCCTTCTTTATTTCTGGCCAGTAACTCCCCAAAATCCGTGGATTTTGCGCTTTGATGCCCACATATGGAAAGGAGTGGCCACCATGAGAGTCTTGCGGAGTCTCCCATCTGGTTGGAGCCCTCCCGGGAGCTCAGGCTCTGTCTGGAGAGGCCGAGGGAGCTGGTCTTGCTTAGCCAGGAGGAGAAAAGGTAACGGGGGGACCTGTCCCCAGCCTGCACCAACCCCTGAGGAAGTTCTCCAGAAGATGAGGAGGACGTGAGGCAACAGGCCTGAACTGAAGGGAGCTTCTGCCTTTGTGTAAGGAAAAGAAAGTCACTGAATGCTGCGGGGGGCAAAATGCTGCACTCCATCTACGCTGTTGCGAACCCGGCATGACAACGTTTGTAGTCAAGGGATTATCAGGATTTGCTGGTATAACTGAGAGAAGAAATTGGCTTACAAGGAGCCAACGGATTTGCAAATGAGATCCATGTGTAAATGTGCCTGCTTGCCCTGTATGTATGTTCTACATATGCCCCTTTGCCGGGAGTTTCACCCAGTCCCAGATGCATCGAGCCAAATTTTCTAAAAACAAGTGCAGAAGGAGTCACGATCTGGGCCCATACCTTGTTCAGAGGTGCCTGAGTCCTGGGCATAGCAAGGGGGACTTCTCTTGTGGGCTCCCCTGTTTTCCCCGTGTCAGAAGGCATCTCTTCGTTAGAGAGGCTCTAATGAAGCAGGGAAAGACAGTTTTTGCAGTATAAAACCCATAAAGAGGACACGATGCCCTTCTTTATTGTGCCCTCCTCTGGCACTGCGTAGAAATGACTTTGGTATATATATTTTTAATTGCATGCCTTTGTATTGGGACACTTAATTGCACTGGTTTACATTAGGAAAAAATCAGCGTGGGGGAAAGAGATGCTTCTGCATCATGGCCTTTCTCCTCGCCAAGAGGTAGGTTTTCCTTGGGTTTGTGTGTTAGCAGCACTCATCTGTTTCCAATATTGTCAGATTAAAGATGCAGAGATAGAAAAGAGAGTGCAAGTGATATGGACTTGAATGAGTTTTATGTAAATCACTGGAATTTCTATAAGTCCAGACTTTGGGAGCTGCAAAATAAATAAATAAATGGTCTCTCACCCTGCTAAAACCAAAAAGAAACAATAAAAACTACCAAAACCAATCAAACAAACAAAAAAACCCAAACACATCTTTTAAGTAAAGGCAACAAAAACATTTACTGTAAAATATATAGTTTTTACTATACGGCCTGCTTATACCCCCAGATGCCAGGAGGATTTCAATATTCTTGTTGGAAAATTCAAAATATTTTGGCTCTGCGGGCTGCATATTTCCAAGTGCTACTTAGGTCTGTAATAGAACAAAATTCCAAGTTTTCTGATGTGCACTTGTTTTTGTTTTGAAACAAAGTTTTTTGGGGGACAAGCACAATAACTGCACCTGAATCACTATCGTCGTTACTGTTGCGTGAGACCTTGCGTACCCTGAATTTATGAGCATCTGTAGACTGTGATGTCCATGGTGGTAAGAGCTATAGGTTATGCTTTCCGCCTCTGGAAAAAGGGAAAGAAAAAAAGAGCACGCACTGATTGATGGCAAATAAGAGCAAAATGTTGATGGGATGATGATGATGATAAGTATCAAGGTAACATAGCATCATTATTTTGCTTCAGGTCAGTGCAATAATGCAGCTCTGATTGTGTGCCTTGATGGTGATGGAATGAGGGAGGAGTTTTTTGTTGTTATTCTTTTTTATCACTTAAACTCAACTCAGAAGAATAATTTTTTTGGGGCGGGGAAAGGGAAATTATTTTTCCTGTGGTAGGAATTTAACTCGATCTCAGCACAATGACTGGAAAATCTGGAGGTGTTTCAAAGCAATCTATAGCAAGCTACCATTTTTTTAAATAGTTCCAGGCTTTATTAAAATAGGTGTGAACCTGTCATGGATGACAGATCCCTTGTAGCAGAGGGCGGCCAAAACCAGCCAGGCACTGCTGGCCCAGTAACGCCGAGCCATGATCAGTGCATGCCTAAGCACTGTCATACAATTCAAGATAATAATTCATAAAAGAGGGGGAAAAAGAGCCTATACTTACAACTTAATTACTGCTTTTTGGCCTATTCAGCCAATTTATTGCATAGCGCACGCGATTTGGAAAAGTGCAACTATTAATCCTCCTTTCTTCTTGTTTTTAATCCCCGTCCGTCAAGCAAGGTCTCGTGCATCGGGGTTGAGAGAGGGGTTTGGTGAGCCCTCAGATGGGCTCCTCTTTCCAAGCCAGCTCCTCAGAGAGCACTAAATCTGTCTCGGATGATTTGTACCTCCCATTCCTGATACCTGGAAAACTTCAACTGTGCAGTGGGGTTTGCAGAGTTGCTCTGTGGCTGCAGAGGCTTCAGCCTCCCCCTGCGGTCAGTACCAGGCAGTCCCATCCCCAGCATGTGTTTTCTCCCGTTGCTCCTTACGGGAGCATTGGTATGCAGTGTTCAGCCTCCTCTTTCCTTTTCTTCTCCCCGAGTAAACGGGAGCTCCATGGAGTTATTTTTCCTTTTGTTTTCCTCTCCATTTTATCATAAGTGATGAGGATTTATGGCGTGATCTCATCCATCGGATGCACCAGAGTGAAACAAGCCCAGTTCAGAGCTTTGCCTGGAATGAAATACGAGCGTTGAATACGTGAGCTTAAGAAACAAACCCATTTTAATGCAAGCTGTGCATCATTTCCAATCACCTTTTTTCTTTTTTCAGGCCGTGACTGTGCGAAATTCCATGGCTAAATCCTTGTACAGTGCCCTGTTTGACTGGATTGTGTTTAGGATTAACCACGCGCTTCTGAATTCAAAGGACATGGAGGAAAACACCAAGGTAATGTCTCAAGTGTCTTGCCAGATATTTTGTTTTAAATTATTTTTAGTTTTGCAACACATTTCTGCTTTACAGTGTGTAACCAAGGAGTAAAATGTGGTGTAAGCTTCAAGCAGCAAATTGCTTAGCATGAAGCACACTCTTTATCTCGTGGAACGTTCCTGTTAATATTGTGGAAGGAGCGTATAATTATTTTAAGTGATACTTTCTGGATCCAGGAACAGTGAACAGCCTCAAATAATATCTCTGACAAGCAACTAGAGAAAAGGTTTTATTTTAGTTGCGACGGCCTCTGCTCCGCACCAGCTCCAGCACGAGTGCCAAATCAGTTTTCTCTCCCTGTGAGTAAGACTGTTGGATTGTATGCGAGGACAAATATAGATAAAATATAGGTAATAAAAAGGATATATCATTTTTTTGTTAATCTTGCCAGCAAAAGGCGTTTGAGTGAGGCGGCTATTCCATAAAAAGTAAAATGGAAAGGCTGTCGGGCTCACGTGCGTCGAGCAGAGGATCTCAAACTATTAGGAGAGTGAAACTAGGGAAAACATCCCAACGGGAAGAGTGAAGTCAGCCCAGTGCCTCACTTGATTTCCCAAAGAATTTATGGAAGAGATTACATGACGTTTCCTGCGATACGGGGCTGGACTTGATGACCCTTTCCACTCCTGTGCTCCAAAAACTAACGTTTTCCACCGCGCTCCTAGCGGAGACCGACCCTCGAGTAGCTCTCCAACAGCCTGGCCATGTAGATGTGTATGTGCACACGCATGCTTGCAGCTAGCCAAATATCCTGCTTTTTTTTTAAATTTTGGGCACGGGCCAGCCAAATTTCTTGGTTGTGCGTCCAGACTGTGGCCACGGCTGCCAAAAGGAGGATTGTTCTGCTAAGTGCTAACGTTATGTTTGAATTGCGTCGTAGGTTGATGGAAGTCGCAGGGCCTCTCAGCGTATCTCATCTTTAGTTTAACCCTCTGGAAATGCTCGTAGCGATTATAGGAGCGTGGGTATAGACCGTCAGGAGGCTGTGGTTGGGTGAGAGCCATGTTTAACGGGAGGTGATGGCACTGCGAATAGAAAAGTTCATTAAAGTGGGTGAGATGCCACGTGTTTTCTGACTGCACGTGTTCCTTCTCCGTCTGTTTAACATACTGAAAAATTTGTTGTCTTTCCTAATTTTTCCAAGTCGTGAATGCTTGTTTGGGCTATCTGGAAAAAGCTGTTTGTGTGTAAGCATTGTAAGAGCCCAAACACATGCTGCTTACCTGCACTGCTGCCTGCATTTGCTCCAAATGGGACTCTAGGTGCATGTAGCTGGTTTCTTCTGCCTCCTGTTTCCCTATGGTATCTCTAGGATGCCAAAATCCAAGTTTTCTGCCCCTTATCTTTGTCTGAAAATTGCCTAGTAGTTCTGTTATGGAGCGAGTCCTTGCACAAGAGCAGATCCACGTATGCTGGCAAGCACCCAACTGGAGCCTGTATAAACACAGATTAATTTTCATATTTCCCTCCGGAATCGAGAAGATACATGAATTTGGGCTTTTCTGTGAAGGAGAGGTTCAAGTGGAGCATTTGCGTGCATTGCATGGAGCTGTAGAGAGGAACTTTGTTAAACTTGGATTAGAAAATTTCCTCTCAAGCTGCTTTACAGTGTCACCTTCTTGCCCCTTGTTGGCCACTGAGTTCAGTTCCTCTAGCAGTGAGGAAGGAAGAAAGCTGTCACGGTGCCCTCAAGCAGCAATTGCAACTGCTGCTCCCTCCTCCACCCTGGAGGACCTGAGCTGATCCTAATTAATTGTGTTTTCCCTAACACTTTGCAATCCTCTTTAAGTCCTTTTGCAGCTTAGGCTTTGAGAAACCCCGGATTAGCGGATAGCCCCTTCTTAACTCCCATATGTGCTCTTGGGGTTTGGCAACAGGAACGAGGAACGCCAAGGTGAACCTTGGCACAGGGGTCTGTGATCTCCAGTGCGGATAGGAATGCTGCTGAGCAAGGCAGGAAGCATGAGGGACCATCATGTGTTGTTCTGGCCAAAACTGGTAGTTGCTGGGATTAGCTGCTTTTCACAAAGGCAACATGTCAACACTTAGATGGGCATTTATCATGGTATCTACTGGCCCCCCAGATTTTTCTCCACACCTACTTAATATCTGATTTGAGAGAGAAAAATCTCATCTGCCATGCTCAGAGTTCAGTGTGGATGTCATGAAAGCCCCCTTTCACTAGGGGGCTTGGACCTGCTCTGAGTTGAAAGCCCGCAGGTGGGCAGCCGTTGAGGGTGGCCCTCAGCATGTGCTCTTCCTAATCTCACAGGAATTTATTGGTACTGGCGTAATCCTGTGCCATGCTTGTAGCCTGTGTTGCTTTGACTCTTCAGGTGTCCTTTTAGGTAGTCCTGCAGCTTTTGAAGGTGCAGAAGGTTGCCAGAAGGGGAATTGCCGACAACGATGGGGCATCTGTGGCAGATGGACTCCATATGAGGCATAGGGTTTTTTTTTTTTTTAAATAAAAAAAAAAACCCACTACTAAACTAAAATTCTCCCCATTTCAGAACAAGCATGAGAGAATACGTGTTGCCATCTCTGTGTTTGGTAAACGTATTTGGCTGAGGCAAAGTGGCCTTGCTCCAGCTATCTGAGATGACCTCCGAAGACCATAGAATCATAGAATGGTTAAGGTTGAAGGGGACCTCTAGAGGTCATCCAGTCCAACCCCCTGCACACGCAGGGTCACCTAGAGCACGTGGCACAGGACTGCGTCCAAGCGGGTTTGGAAGATCTCCAGAGAAGGAGACTCTATAACCTCTCTGGGCAGCCTGTTCCAGTGCTCTGTCACCAGACCTCTGTAGAGCAGAGGATTGGCCTCTTTAGAGGTTATAGCATTCCTCAGTGAGACCACATTTGCCAGAGAAGCTGTTCCTGGCCCATTAAACCCACTAAATCTCTGAGGGACTATCTGTACCAGTGATGGACAGGATCCTAACAAGGTCGGTGGCCCTGAGAGAAATTGGGACAATTAAAACGGAGTGCAGTTTTGTGTCTCAATATGTGCGTGTCTGATGTCAGCAGCGAGAAGATCAAAAGATGAAGCTAGGGTAGAAAAAGAAAATAAACACTCAGGCCTCATTCTTTCAGTGTATTTCAAGCTCGTATTTGAAAGACTGAAATCAGACCTTTGATATCCAAATTTAGTGAAATGTATGGTGAATTATTTTAGGAAAACACAGAGGGCTTTGGCTTATCTTGCCTGCTGACAGCATTTGTAGTGTTATATCTGAGCTGCGGTTGGAATAGTTATGTGATACTTATTGGTTTATGCTTATAGCAGTGCTGCACTGTCCCAGCCTGGCCGTGGAGCCCTGGCTGCTGGTGTGTTCTTCGTTCTGCACCGTCCCTTCTCCATAGCTCTGGAGTTCTGTTATGCAAATGACTGTTCTGATATTTAGCAAATTGTCCAAAATTTGACCTTATATTAATGAGGCCAGAGACTTTTCCTTCTCTTGAGAGCTAGAAAACTAAACCTCGGAGAGCTCTTTTATTTAATTTGTGTTTCCTAAATTAGGCTAAAACATTTTACAAGTCCTCCCTGATGCTTAAAGGAATGATGTCGTATACATCATGTTTTAATGAAAGACATGTTGGCTATGGCTCTTTTTTTTCTTCTTTTTTATTTAAGCTTTTTCCATTTGGTTCTGGTGAAATGTCTTCATTTCCTGCTAAATAACACTGTTATTGTGCTCAGATGAGGCGCTCTGTATGTGTCCACGACACTGAAGGTGAATCCATGCTGCTAAATGACATAAATTAATCAACCAGCTTATTCTTGGCCATTAAAAGAGGGGAGGAACTGATGAACCTAATGGGTTTAATGCACATCTCTGTCATTCCTCAAGCCTCAACTTGCCAAATCCTGGCATGTCACTGCCTCCCGCTTAGCGTGACATGCCAGCATGGGGACGGCAGCACTGCAGATTGCAGCCACCCTTTCACAATTCCTGGTGATGATTTGAGTTTTTATGGTGTTGGCTTTGCTTGCCATGGTGTAAAAGCAACAATTATTTTTTTCTTTTTCCACGGGAATGTATAGGAAACCTGTTTGCAACTGCCAAAATGCTACTCACCAGCTTTAAGTATTAGTTGCAATAGAGGAATCATGTAAGATAAGCTAAACTTAGCTACATGAGGTCTAGTCACTGATGTATCTCTGCGGATTGCCATATGGTGCTCATTCAACAACGTGAATTGGAAACCAAAGAACTGCAAGATGTGAAAGGCCTTTAGTTATTTTTTCTGCAAACCTAATCCTAAAACCAGTAAGAGTCCATGCTTTTGGGAGCTAGGTGAATTTTTAGCAAACTAATTTAATGTATGCATACCTTAATGGCAATATATATATATATGATTTTTACTCTTGCAATGAGAAATGGCCATACATTGGTAGCCATACGTTTTGCAGTCTTATAAGGGAAAAGTCAGTAGAGTCCTTCAGCATAGTTGCAGTGAGATTTCTGGAGAATAAGGTGTTTCCTTCTGTAGGTCAGTTAGCAGAGAAATAGTCCAAAATTCCCTGGGTTTTATCTTAGAAGTTTTAACAGCTTCAGTGTGTCAGACTTTTCCATGTGGGAACTCTTTGCAGTATTAAATTACAAAACCAAGATGGGAGAACTGCCTTGGTTGAACAAAACCGTGCTCATCTTGCATGCTCGTTTTGATAAATGCAATGATTTTGTTATGCTCATCTTGCATGCTCGTTTTTCGTTTTGATAAATGCAATGATTTTGTTAAATGGGGGATTTGGGGAGTTTCCCTGAATTTTACTTGCCTGAATTTCTTTGATATGGCACTTTGTGTGATGGCAAAAACAAATAAGGCAATTTCAAAATGTAATTTGTGTTTGTGTGTGTGTATATATATATTTATTTATAGCTAAAATAGCTGCATATTTTTCTATATATTTGAACTGTTTTGATTTATAGATTTATTTATGTAGACACACAGAAATATATTTAAGGAGATGTTTTGACTTGATAGATTAACCAGCCTTAAAAATAGTATTCGTGCAGAAGGTATTTCATAAAAGTTATGTTTGTGAGGGCCTGAAAAGTCCAGACCTCCGGAATTTGACTTGTGTCCTTGTGGTTCTGGCTTAGCAATGACTCCATGTTGTCAACATGGTCATTGTGAAAGATGGGACACCTGGAGTGGGCAGTTCAAGGTGGTTCTTGCTCATTTTTACCTGCACAAGCGTTCAAATCTCCATTTTTCAGTTGAACAGCTATTTCTTGTGGGCATTTAGCCAAGTGATTCTAAGTGCTGGGCAGGTGGCCAGATCTCTTCAGGAGTCATCGTTATAGTAGGCCTGTGTGGAGGTGAGGAGGGACTCAGGTCTCTCCAGGCCTGGATTCAGGGGAAAAGCCCAAACATCAGGCAAGAGGAGACATCCTTCTGGAAAATGCAAGTGCTGGGAGTTTTACAGTTGTGCTTTTTCTCCTACGAGTGTTTGGGTGGCTGGAGTCTGTAGGCCCGTAACACTCGGAGCGGGAGGGAGCGTTTTAGCGCTGGATCTGGAACAGCCTATCCCGTTCTCCTGAGGCAAACACAGCCTAGTCTGTGAAGGCCGCAGAAAGCAAGAAAAGCTCGTTCCCTGCTCAGGAAATGGAAAAATGTTCACTTTAACAACTCTGTTGTCGACATTTGAAATCTGAAGGCACCTCTGATTTAGGGACTGACTTGAGTCCTCCTTTGCAGCAGCGCTGTTGTTGCCAGCATCTGTTTAGGAAGTCCCACCTTGGGAGTTACCTTTCATTGCTAAATGGCTTCCCTGGCTAACTTTCTGGGCTATGTTTTATGCAGGTTGGATATTATATTTGATACGGGTTATTTGCCCATCTTGCAATGCATTGTTTCTGTATAAACCCCTGCAGTGCAGGTGATTCTTTGGCAGCCTTGTGGCTGGAGCGTGTTTGCTTAAACACCCTTTATTTACTTTGTAGGCAGGTTTCTATAGACTGTCCTCATGGTCTGAGTCTTTTTTTTTTTTTTTTTCCAATCCTTTCTTCAATTTTTTCCCCAAAAGATAAATACTTCCTTGGAGCCAATAGAATAAGTTGGAATCGGGTGCAGGTTTCCTCAAGGATGACAATTCGTTTGGTTATAAATAATTTAGAATAAATACTCAAAAGGACTTTTATTTAATAATAAAAAAAGGCCATCTGTCCAGATATCTAAAATTGCATGTTGTCCCTGATGTAGGTAAAGTCTTCCAGATGGCAGAATATTAATAGTTTCAGTAAAAATTAAAAGTCCTTCTGCAGAGTAGATCTAATTCTGTTTGCGTGGGTTTGATTACATCCTGCATGCAAATAGCCCATTTATCTTTCTGTCTTCTAATCGGCCTTTTTCCTTTGTCTTGCAGACTTTATCCATTGGCGTACTTGATATTTTTGGCTTTGAAGATTATGAAAATAATAGTTTTGAACAATTCTGCATTAACTTTGCCAATGAGCGCTTGCAGCACTACTTTAACCAGCACATCTTCAAACTTGAGCAGGTAGGTGTGTAAACATTAGCCATGATGCTAAGGAGCATTGACATCCATTTATTTTGCCAGTGTTCTGCTAATCCGTGTCCTGTGAGTTATTCAAATGTACTTTATATTACATTTTCTGATAAATGAGCATTGTGTACCAGTATGTATGAAAACTGTGTGGGTGTCACTTTGCAGCCTTAAAATCACAGGCTGTACCAGAGATGGCAAGAATAAGACATTTTAATACATGGCAAATAATATAAAGGGGCATAATCACTAGGATGGGAAGAGGCATTTCCAAATAATCGCTTGTTTTCTAATGACCCCAAGCAAGCATGTTGAAGACTGTGAAAGTACATGTCGTTTCATGAATGAAGAGCACGCAGTTGGATTACATTGGAGCCAGTCTGTCTTCTATGGTGTGTGACAACATCTAACAGCAGATGCCTGTGGAAGAATTAATTAAAAGTATGCGGAGTATGATATAGATCTCAAAATAAATATATATATTGGAAAATATATATTTTTCAATGCCAGTAGGCCTACATGTCCTCTCTTCAGGTGGAATTCTTCTTTGGATGAGGTGGGTGGGAATCTTCCTTAAATGAGTTTCAGTAGAGCTGGAGCTCGGTTAGGCATGCTCTTCAGGCTGAGTCCACACAAGTCAGGGAATCAACCTCCAAAAGTCTGGTGGTTCTGTTTTAAAAGAACTCAGAAGTCAGATGAGTCCAGTGAAAAAGTGACATCTGCTCTTGCTTGACCTTGGGTAAGAGGAGGGAGAGAGCAAGCCTTGGCTTCTCTGGAGCATTTGGGTGATGAAGCTTCCTAGTGAAGCTTCCCTATCAATAGTGCTCTTTTCCTTTAGCAAGAAGATGGATCAGAGCCACAGTTTTATTTTCATTCCATCTATTCCACGTATATATTCCATCTATTCCAAATATATTCTGGTGCCTCCTGCTGCAATAAATGCAGGAAGAAATCAATGGGAAAATCTGCTTGTACTTACATGCAAGCAGCTCTGCTTTAGGATTCGGCGACATAAAAAGGCAAACCAAAAGCCAGTGCGTGAAGGCAATATAGCTGTTTTTTCCAGGACATTGCTGATAGGCTTTCCAGAAAGGAGTTAGGACTTGTTTTCCTGAGCATGGACTTGGTGGTCATCATCCATGAGGGAATTCCTGTGCTTTGCCTGGAGTTTCTTAGCTCCGTGCTCGTTCCGGGCCGGGTCTGAGAGCAAAGCTCCTGCTTGCAGCAGCCTGGCAGAAGGATTCCATCCGGAATTCTCCTCGGACTGTCTTGCAGCCAATGACCTAATTAGCTTTTGACTATAAATCTGTCATGTGCATGAAATCATTAAAGTGCATATCTTCTCTGTGGATGGGACAGGCAGGTCCAAACGGCACGGTTCCCGCTCTTGGTACAAGAAGAAAATGATCCCCCGCAACCTGAGCTAGGGGAAACTATTCTTATCTCTGTGTGTTTTGCCTTCTACAAATAAAGATCATGCAGCTTCAGAAGTGATAGCTTCTGAAGGGGTTGAGGATAGGCATGTTTCATATGGCTTTACATGGCTTTATACTGTTGCTTTCCTTGCACTCTACATATCGAGGAGTAGAGCTGATGGAAACCAAGCTAGAGATACGTGTACAGGCTTTTGGACTTCAGAATCTGCTAGCTGACCCAAAGATTTGTCTGTAAATTTGTGCAAGACATTTGTCACTTGCAGGAGCTTACTCGATCTCTTCTGTGCTGAAAATCAAGTGACCTTTTTGATGGAGCTTACCTGAGGGTGCTCGAATCTGAGCAGGAAGGCATCCTCCTCTGTCTCCAGAGATCAGCTTGTCCTAGCTTTAAAGCATGCAGCATTACCAAAATATTTGGACCTTTCTGCTTTAAAAATAAATAAATAAATAAAAGAAAAAGCACCAATTTAAGTAAATGACAACAATTTTTCTCAAAATGATTGCTGAATTTTTGGGCATGAGTCTTCTATTTAGCAATGACGTTGCCCTGACATGCTTTTTAGATTATAGAAACCCGAATGCTTACCGCAAAGTGATCCAGCCCAGGCGTGTATTATTTTAACCTTATTTTCTTTTATTTCCTACACGCTTTCTCGTGAAATATAGCAAAATATGCTTTGTGATTTTTTTTTCTTCCCCCTCCCAAAAAAAAACCCCGCTTTGTTTAAGCACAACAGTATTTCCAGCTGTTTGGAAGCAAGCATTGGAGGCGCCTCAGCCGAAGACGGGCTGCCACCTCCTATAAATACAGCTGCTGTTGTGCCATATACTGCAAATCCATCAGAGTCCAAGGCAGATTCAGAGATCTTTGCAATTCCAAACTCCTGTCTTGGAGCCAACCATATGAATAAGGCAAACACATCCCTCCACGCGCTGTTTATATAAAATAGGAGCAGAAGGCAAAAAGAAAAAAAAAGTAAATGGTAGAGTTCTGCCGTAAAGACAAGTATTAATGACTCTTTGCTATTTTTTTTTAAAACCAACTGTTCTGCATTAAACTTAGCTAGTGATGATTCATGATACATGGGAATATGGTTCACCGGGTGCTGGAAGCGTCCAGGAGAGACGTACGCTAGTGGGACCACAGAGCCCCAGGCTCATAAATTCTCATCTACGTGCATTGCCCCACTCTTGGGTTCAGGATGGTCGTGAGTTATTTATGTCCCAAAAGCCTAGTTTTGCCTAGGAATTGCTGCCTGGCTTGAGGGCAGGAGACCCAAGTGTGCTTTTTAGTGGGACACAGGCCAGATGCTGTGAGGTCTCTTACATTAGGCTGCCAAGACCCCAATTTAAGGTAAGACTGGCCCATTTGCTGCTACATTTTACGTATGTGGGGTGATTCTTGGGTCCTCAAGCAACTGAGCGCCTCTGTCGTCCTCTGCACTTGGATCCTCCTCCACAAAGCAGATAAGCGCAGCGCTGCTGTGCCGTTCAGATAACGCTCGGTGCTGCGATAGGAAGAGCCTTTCTGCCTGACAGCATGCATTTCGATTTGGTTTTATTTCTTTTTTTTTTTCTCAATTTATGTAATAACTGCTGGGCACAAAATTAAACTTGAGAAACTTCTGATAAGAGCAAAACCATTCTAAGAGTTTTCCTTGAGTTTCTTTAAATTAGAGGGACAGGAATGCTGATTTCTGTGTCTCCGTGTATCTGGCGTAGCCCCGATGATTTGTTTTACGTAGAAATGTTCTCCCAACTGTCTTCCACGTCCCTTGTCTCCCACCCCTCCAAGCTGGCTGTGTGCAGCGCCTGCATCCTTGGTTATCACTGCTGCTTTGAAGGGATGTTGCATGTACGTGATGCTATGTAGTGGAAGAAAAAAAGGATTTTCTTCTATTACACGGAGCATCTTTTCTCTTCTCCGTTTCCTCGTTCCATTGAGGTCGGGGCGTATGTTAGTGCTGCCGGAGACCCAAGCAGAGCATTAGACGTTGGCCGTGGAGTGCTGTAAGACCTGGTTCAAGTTTCTGTTTGGGTTGGAGATGGGCTGGCGGGCGCTGTTTGGAAAATGCTGTAGTCAGCTGTATCCCGCATGACACGCGGAGGAATAACACACTGCACAAGTTATTGATTTATTATTTGGAAGCGCGCCACGGCACATAAAGGGGAAAAAAAAGAAATGCGTACAGTTATTTAAGCATCATCTTCGGAATAGGAAGATTTCAAACTGCAGGTTAGAAAGAAAATATGACTGCCGTCATTATCGGCCCCCGAAACTGTTTGCTTTGGCTCTTCTGCTCTGGCGGGTTTGTTGAGTAAAGGGAAAAGGGAGATTAGAGGCTAGGATGGGGTTGCAGGAGGGCGTCCTTGGCCCCCGAGCTGCTTCCAGGGCCTCGGAGCTGGGAATAGATGCCCAAGAGGGACTGAAAAAAAGCCTGAAAAACTTATTAAATCTGCATACAGGTATTATTCTGAGGTGACATCTTACAGTTTCAAGCTGTTATTAGAAAGCTGAGGTTGTTTTTGGTTTTTTTTTTTTTTTTGAATCCCTAACTTTTGCTTCCACCTCACTTCGGCGCAGTGCAACATCCATGAAGCCCACCAGGACCTTTGCTTTCGTGCACCTCTCCTGGTTGTAGTTGCCAGCATGAAGCTCTTAAGATAAATACCCCCATCTGCATTTGTGGGACGTGTTGTAGTCACGTTTTGCATTTAGTCAAGCCCGTGGGTTATCTGGCACCTTGTAACTGCAAGATTTTGAGACACGAATCCACCTTTTAGTGGGAGAGGGAGATAGAGGTAGAACCGCTTTGGGTGTTGGTCAACAAAGAGGCCACGCTTTTTAGAGAAAAACAAAATTTGGGAGAATTTGGGCAAAAGGCCAGTAAGTGGGATGAAGGTCTTGGATGCCCCTTATACTTTCAAGCTAGGTTAGGCAAGAACTTAAGAAATCTTTGGTTCTTCCAGCTTGAAAGTGTTGGCAGTTACTTGGGAGCGCCAACTTTTCTTAAAACAAGGCGACGTCGCTGCTTTGGTGGATTTTCACTGTCGGGACCTATAAAAGGAGCAGAGGGACCAAAGTAGAGGCCTGCTTTGGTGCAGTAACAAGCTTTTATAGGGGGATTTTACACAGGCACTGTCGCACAACTCTTGTCTTAGGAGCCCGTTGTGAGGATGAGCGAATGGGAAGGGCAACAGGCCGACAGGAGGCTGGTCGCTGCCTCCAAGAGCTCCTCGTCGGTGGTGGAGGAAGGTCAGTCCTGTTCCCCCAGGCAGCTGTGGCAAATGGCCCCGGCTTGCACGGCCATCGAAATAGGAACCGCACGCGCGGGGGCACCGCAAGGCAGCGCGGCGGCGTCCAGCAAGCACTGCTGAGAGCCCAGTTAGTTGCGCCCGCTGTATTTGTCATCCGCTGGCGACTGCTGCCGGATTGACTCCCGCCGGGAAAAGCAGACACCATCCGGCGGCGGCTAAATATAACGTCTTTCAGTTATTTGGTCTCTCTTTTCTCATTGCTTTGTAACAACAGCCGGGTGTTTGCCTCGTCTGTGCTTT